ACTCACCATTCACTCTGTCGACTGGGCTCTGCTGCTATCGCGACCGCCGCGTCTTCTCGGACCGATGCAACTGGCTTTGTTGAACATAGTTGTGCACTCACTCTGCCTCGTTCTCTGACATTCTAGGGCCTTAAAGTCGGCCGACCAACTTCGCCGACCCCATCCCTCAAAGGGGCATCCTTAGCTGGGATGGATCGAAGCGCCGATCGCTCCGGGGTGTGATCGGCGTCTCTAGGGCCATGCGAAGCCGGCTCCATAGGGAATCGCAACCGTCATGGTTACCAGCCTCAAGATGACTTTTTGCACAGGGTGATTTTGGCTCGAGTTTCTCTACTGTCTGTTTGTGAATAATCACGTCCTCCACCACATAAAACGCCACCAGTTCAGTAGGTCTTGCCTGCGGCAGGAGTCTTCGGCGGAACTCAAGTCTCCTTTTCACTGTCTCAAGCTAATACTAGGTTACAGGGAACAGTATGCTATGTTAGGAGATTCATCAAAATTTCAGTTACTTCTTGTATCTGCAGGATGAGAAACAACCAGTCACTCCATCATTTACCTCAAACATTTGCAGCTACACCTATTTCTACTTTGGAGTACAAACTAGACCTATAAATCACCGATTTACATACATTAATAAGTGAGATATTTGGAGGGACTTGCATCATCAAGGTTCCTATTGTATATACGAGGAGTAACTAGGTTTTATTATATCCTTCAAGATACCATTATTGGAGGGACTTTCATTTCATATGATTGCCTGTTTACACCCGAAATGATGAAACATGTCTCGTGGACAGCGTCAGCCCGACCCTCGTATCAAAGCCAAACAGCTGCAGGTCAACATAAATCAGCTGTCGTCTTTGAATTAGATCGACCTTCGGACCTTTTCATTACGCACTTTCGTTTGAAATGAAAGTTTCCCCGACAATGCTATCTTAAGAGCCTCATCGAAACGCAGCAGGGACTCATATGCCTGAGGTTCGAAAGCCTACCGAGGGTTGCTGGAGCCAAGACGACTCCAGAGCCATAATTTATTCCTCTTTATAAAGCACTTATGAGCCCAAAGCTCGTCAGGCCTTCACTTCTATTATTTGGGATTAGCTAGAATATATTCCTTAAGATTTTGCGCAGAGTTATAAAAACACACTATATTTTTTACTACTGTGGCTCTTTCTTGAACTTTTTTAAGCTAGAAATATGCGAGGTTTTCCAAATTTATTAAGATTTTTCTTTTAAACCATTTGATATTACCACATGCTTTCTCCTCTAAGATACATAATGCTTGTTTCTCCTGAAGCTAAGCAGACTAAATACAAGAACAAGAAGGTTTTTCGATATAATGAGGCTGCGAAACTCAATAATTCCTTTATTAGAACTTATTCAGCCGAAGTGGCTCAGGGTGACTTAGAGACTGATAGCTGAGTTTTCCCGCAAGCATATGATTAGTCTTGAGAATGTCGGTGAATTTCGTGTAACCTTGCCTCCCATAGGGCTTATATAATCTAAACTGAACTGCAGTTTCGATCTTGCCTATTTTATCAGCCTCCCCAAATGGGTTCGCTACTGGCTAATTAATCGTAGATTATGTCCTATTGTTTACCACAGATAAACCTAGTAGTTCTACCATTGTTATGCATGACCTGCACTACTGGTTGACTATTTTGTTTGAATCTTCATTTCTAATTGCGTCTAAAAGCCGTGATAACTTGAATATATCCATCCAGTCACATTTTTATTTACCTTCACGACCTGAAATCTTGACGTCTTGTTGTCGATACATTTAGCACTCTTCCCATCTCAATCTCATTCGATCTTTATATAGTAAGGTCTATACAAATGATTGCATTTTTTTAAATCAATCAAACTTTTAACCTTAATATTGTCACTTGAGTTTATATGATTTGTATTAGGAGCAGGTGAATTCGTTAGTTGTCAATAGTGTGTTGCTCTGGTCAAGTCATATTAATCTTGCATAGTTTTTTCTTGCCATTTTGCTAAATAACCTATTTAATTTAGTCGAATATTTTATGCATTTATTATAAATTATACACACAAGTTAATGATAAGCTTAAGCATCAAGCTATTTATAGCCATAGCGATCTGGATTTAATGACGGTATTTGTACTTTTAAAACATAATTACTTAGTGAAGGTATAAAGACCAAGATGGTGTGGCCTTTTGTGTGGTCGCACTCTCCTTTCGTTGCATAGAGGTTGTTTGACCTTGTTTTCGCAACTTGGTCATATTGGTAGGAAGACTTAGAGGA